CAAAAGAGCAGTTAATGAACATCCTCCCCCATTAGTATGGCTGGTAAGGTCTCAGTCCAGAAGCAGAGGTGAAAGCACTGATCACAGCCCTTCCCACTGCAGAGAATGAATCTCCATGACATCGGAATTAGTCCAGAATGACTTTTTGCTCCAGATGCATCCAGTGAAAGGGGCAGCTTAGTTACCAAGATCTCCCCAGTCAGACACTCCCCATTCAACAAATCTGTGCAGTAGGGAATGCTTTGCTTGTGTGGAGCACTTACCACCACATTGCTCCAAGTCTCCTTCAAAGCAATTTATGTCCCATTTTGGGCTTCATCCACTGTGTGCAGGCTGAGTGCCTTTACTCCTCCTAAAAAACAGCTTGGGTACCTGAACTCTAAAAGCAAATAATACCTGGAAGCCTGCTCAAGCAAATATATTCAGTTAATAAAATAATCTCAGCAGAATTCTGAGCTGCGTCCTCGTCTGATTTTGAGCCAGCAAAGAATGCACAATCAAACCCCAATATGCGGGGCTTTGAAATCACAGTCTTCAAAATGGGATGGATTTGAAATCACTGGTTTCCTGCACCAATACCTTCACTAGTTGCTTCTGTCAATTATATGACTCAGGGGCAGGCTAACGATGAATCCTGTCAGATGGATATTTTGTAATAAATTTCTCCTCCTTGCACTGTAATTCTCACATGCAGCCTGAGGAGAGGCAAGCAGGTTTTTTTTCCTTTTTTTTCAAGTTGGCAGTGGATCCTACTCAAGGTCAGTTGCTTGGTGGCAAGTTTCTCTGGCTACAAAATAAATAGTCCACATCTGAAATATTTGAGAAAACACTGTTTTTCCTAACTACATTCCATAGTACTTGGGCCATGGGGTTTCCCAGAATAGTCTAAAATGTTAACAGGGTTACACAAATGACTACCTCCAATTAGATTATCGCTCTAAGACAGATACAGATCCGTCCCTGTACACAGCACTGCTCACCTATTCTTTAAATAGTATGTCAAGGGCCAGGGTCTGGAGCTCATGTGAAGTAGTTTAACAGCCTAGGAACAAATTAGCTGGCTGGATCCTATGCCCTTTTAAATGTAGGGCGTGGTGGGAGACATGTTGCAGGGAATGAAAAACTGGAAGTCGCTGCTTTCAGTCTGAGGCGCCCGCCAAGGAAAGCACATCGAAGGAAAGAGACAAGGGAGCAAGACACAAAACCAGATATCTCACCACCAGGAATGCTCCTGGAAGTACCTGTTCTGGGATCAGCACAGACAGTGTGGAAGTCACATGTCTGCAGGCAGCTCCCAGTTCTCCCTGCCATCCTCCTCTCCACCCTTTCTGTATGGCACTGCTTTGTCCAGGACACAGACAGTTGAAGCCAGTTCTTCCAGCCCTTTCAAAACACCTCTCCCAGTGATCTCTTCTAAGTACCATAATGGACAGATTCTTATTTTTCAAATGCAAAGAGAAATACTGTGTCCTGGACCAGTAGAGAAGAACCCTGCAGAATCAGCTAACTCTGCACCTTTTCCCATCATAATGAGAGGGCATGTCTTCAAAGAGACTAAGAATAGGACAAGCATTTAGTGATGCTTCTTTAATACCCTTTTCAGCTCTCAGCATTCTGTAGCACAAGGATTTCCTGCGCTTTATAGCCCTTGATGAATCCTTCTTCCATGAATTTGTCTTCATACAATGACTACGGAGGAGAAACAACTAATTCTACATTTTATGATTTGGTAATAATTCCCAGAAAAGAGCACCAATTATATGTAGTTTTTTAAAAACCTACAGCAAAGAAAAAGGTATTCTTGAAAAAGCAAAATAGGGACTCTCCACCTCACAAGTAACAGTTAGAAACTTGGATGAAGAGTTTTAAGGCTGCCAGTTCTCAAAGGGGAGGCAGTCAGGAAATGGGTTTAAACTCACATGCTATAGATGGAGGTTCAAGTATTCCTTTAAATACAGGATCCAGGTTTCAAACTCACCTCGGCCTTTAAAAAAAATAATTTAGATATGTGCCACTGATATGCAGTCTGGGATTGTAAGGTCAACACGCAAAATTAAAAGTCTCCCATGCATACCTAAATGCTGTGAATGTTTTCATTCTAATTTTTTTTTTTAATTTCTTCATACATCCAGAGCACTCACATCTCAGAGCTGGAAGCTCTACATCTGTGGGATAGTCAACTGTGAAAAGAGCCTGGACACTAATTACACATATCTGGGCACTCATCAGCACCTTAGAGAGAAGGAACTATTAGTTTCTTCTCATTCATATGGGGAGGTAAAGGTACTTTTCCTCCATTTTGTTATACTCCTTTGCCAAGCAGATTATTTTCCCCAGATGTTCCTGCCACATTTGCTGGACAGGATGGACAGTGGTTGCTTTATAAATTCTCATGTTTTCTTCATTACCAGCACTTTGTCTGAATTGTAGGAATTATTAATTTTCTCCTAATTTTCCTCCATAACATGTGTGTTTGGCAGATGTTGATTAACACTTTTGCATATATCTGCATTATTATTTTGCAATTAAAAAAACAAACTATAGAAGAATTCTTCCTTTTGAATCTACTTATTTTACACCTCTTACTTCAGATTCTTAGAATTTGATTTTTCAGTGTACTTGTTAGTTTGTTAAACTGGTACTAATTTATTTGTTAAACTGACAATCTGGAGTTTATGGTGATTGGCAAAGGCAAATTTTAGCAAATAAGCAAATTAGGCCCAGGATCTTCAGGTAAACAGCCACAAAGCAAAGAATAAGTATCTCTACGTGTTTTCACTTAGACTCCATGACTGACAAAGAATTAATTTCCTCATCACTGCACGCAGTCTTCCTGGAGCTCTGCATTTCATAGACTATCACTAAGTTTCTGGGACGTTTAAAGCATTGCTCCTGCAAGCTTCAGTCCCAGAGCACTTTGTCCTATGCAACAAATGAGCGAAAGAAGCTGTCATGATACTCAGGGAACAGAGCAAAAATTGCATATAAATCCTTGATTCTATTACTTTCTTAATGTATTGTTACATCTGGTTAATAGAGCCCAGTAAATGCTCAGCCTACAATGCTCCACCAGCAAAACCAGAAATTTGCTGACAGCCAAAAAAAGGATGTTATTTAGGTTCCAGGATTTATACCAATATTCTAAAAGGATAGTGATCCAGCAAATGTTTTATCCAGTTCTTATCCCTTTGACAGTTCCCTGGACTCTTTATTCCAAGTTCAAAGCAGTTTGCTAAATAAGTCTTAGCCTCCTGAGTCACAGAATCATAGAATGTTGTAGGTCATATATTTCCAACTCCACTTTTGTCCTATCTGCTGATAGTCAAACCATCCTAATTTCATCAGTGTCTCCACTCTCACTCGCTCCTGGAGCCAATTCTCTTTCTTACATGGTGCAGTCCAGCTTGCTTTTCATTAACTATGCATGGCCCACTTATCCTCTTTAACTAAAACCTCACCATAATTTATTTCTCCGCCAGTTTCCTTATCCTCATTTCCTCACATCACATCTGAGCTTGTACCCCTTGAATCTGTGGTAGGTAGCTACATAATTTTCTTGATGTGAACAAAGTTACATATCCCTGACAAGGCTGAGTAAAAATTATCTCCCAGAGTGGGACAACTACATCTTTTCAGAAAAAAAAAAAAAATCCAACATTTTTGTAGCATGGGAAAAACAATGTATTTTTTTCTAGTCTTGTTCTTGGAAGACATTAAACTGTTCTGGCTGGAACCTTCTGAAGAGAATTCAGATGGAGGCAGACACCAAATGAAACATGGAAAAATTTACTTTGAAAAGCTACTTTGACAAAGGTGTGAACAGCAGAAAATAGGCCTTAAGGGCTGGAAGTGCCTGGCAGCCTCAGCAGCAGATGCTGTTACAAGCCCTGCCTGCAGTGAAAGGGCCACCCTATCAGGTCACCCGCCTTGGTGACAATCAAGCATAACCCAACTGCATTTCTGGAGTAACTCCCCGTCCCTGCCAACCAACCAAGACACCACTTCTGCCATTTAATTGTCCAACAATTTGGTGCCTACATGAACCCTGACAGCGCGACCCTCTCACCGCTTCCCCACACTCCAGGGCTGTGACACGGAACAGGAACGCGCGTGGTGAGATTTCCCCCGAGCCCCAGTTTATGAGGAAGCAGTTCATGGCAAACAGCTGGGACTGGGCCCCCAGCTGTCCCGATTCCCCCTGCAAGAGTCAGTCGTAGCCTTGCTTGTGTCTTCAGCTTCTCCTCCCCGAATCTGGCTGTAATGGGCCCACCTAAAGTAATTAGGCCACCTGTTGCATCGCCAGATCCGTTTAAGGGAGTTGTTCAGCAATCCGGTTTACATGGTTTGACAGGAATTGTTTAAGTGGGTACCAGTGTAATGGCACTGCGAAGTGAAATCGTGGCATTATTTTAATCGATAAATATAATTATATGTTCAGATGACTGTGAGTTGTTGTAATTAGTTCCCCATACCATAATGCAGTCTGTAAAATGCCAACTTTTTGCACGTTACATGATGTGGGATGGGAATTGCATTTGCAGGTGATTGGGATATTTCTAAACAATTGAGTTTTTACAGCTCAGAAAGATGTTTTATCCCTGGTCAAAAAAAAAAACAACAACAACAACAAAAAAAGTGTCAGTTGTAGAACTTGAAAATGGCTATTTGTTTTGGAGTAAATTTGGTTTTATTGGTACTACTGGTACCAGAAAAAAGGTCACCATAAATTAGCACAGTCCTAACACAGACCAGTTCTGCATCCATACGTCATACAGTTTTATTTTTGGTTTAGATGTATAAATAGGATCTATTTAATCTAGATATTCATATAGATAGATATTGATATAGATATATAGATATCTCTCCCCATCTCAGAGGTTCTTTACAATAATGTCTTCAAGCAAAGAGTGGGGTTTCTTCTCAGCAGCTTACATGGTAATTTTGGCCACTGCTTAGCATGTAAATTATATAAATTAGTACCAAATATCTTTATATACAATAGATTTTAATCAATATATAAAAAATACAAATGACTTTACATTAGAAAGGATATTAATATAACAGTATTTCACTTTTATTTTTCTCTTTCTTTACACAAACCTTTGTTTCATGTCTTGAAAGGGGGCTCCACCCCGTAATCTTTATTCATTCTGTCCACAGCTCAAAAGTGACATTGTTTAATTTTAAATACATCCTTAAATGCAAAAAAACCAAGAGGGTACAAATACCTTTTAAATATCTGAATGTCAGCACACTGCTCCATAGGAAATACCAGGAAATACCAGTGGATACTTTCACATCATACCACACTTAAGGGGCTTAGATTTTTCTTATCTCCATGAAAAGAGAGAGGGAAAATACCTATGGGGGTAAAGAGGAAGATCTCAATCTCCTTTATATTTTGCACTCCTGAAAGTGTGATAGTCCTAATTTTGTATTGCAGAATAAACAGGATGGCTTCCCACATCCTGCAGGATCGGATAACAACAATATGAATGCAATGAGAAATTAACCAAAACTAAAAACACTTTGAATGCTTAAGGAGTTTAGTAGGCAACAAGATCTAAATTAACTCTTCAGTCAAAATTTTTATGATTATTAAATTAATTAAATGTGTCTCAAAACATGGATGTTCTAATAAACTGCTTGGTTTTGCAGCCAGTTTTACCACTGTAGGACACAGAGCAATATTATGCCAAAAAATATTTGGCCAGACCACTCTTATAATCAGAGTACAACTCACGTGACTAAAATAAGGTCCAAATCAAATGTTTTAGGTACATAAATACCAAGGGATCCAGTCCATAGGGTATGGTCCATAACAAGACTACAAGCTCTGATTTACAGGGAAAACTTGAAACGCTGCCCTGCGGGGATAAAAAAATGAAAGTTGTGAATTCCACACTGGTGTCAGTTCCAATATCCCCAAATGTTAAAGGCAGTAAACCACAAGTTCACCTGTATGTCTTCTCATTACATCCACACTTTTAAACAATTAATACAAACAGCATACTGTCAAATGCAATTTCAATAGGACTGAAATAAAGAATTAGAAGATTTATTTCTTAAAGGCACTATCAATTTTTCCACAAGCTTTGTTTTGCACACAACAGCTCAGAATAGTGATGATTAACTGAAAGAAGAAAAATGGATCACTATCACTGTTTTTCCAGTTACTCATTATAAAAGGTATGTCTGCACATCAAGAACATTTCACTTTCCTTTTGTGGCTTGCTGGGGTTGGGAAAACAAAAAAAGGACAGAACTATCATTAAAATTAAGAATCAGAGAAACAGACAAGGAGTTAGTTACATCTGCATATAATTTATTGCTGTCTGGCAGGATTTCAAGCCCATGACATGCACCTTCAAGCATTACAAGCTGTTTTGTAGATTGGTCATCCACCAAAAATAAAATCTGATGCTGAAATCAATTGACCTGACATTTACCCTGCTTCCCTGCCTAAGCACATACCAGCTCTCATGTCTGACTTTTAGGAGAGTCTAAAAGACAAAATTACAAGGGCTGATGAGCAGTTACTAATGACAAGGCTGTAGGAGTGTGTGAGTCATGAATGGGCCAGAAACTCCGTATGGGAATAATGTAGGCTTTTACCTAGCTGGACTCTGATATCATTATGTGAGCTACCAAGAGATATAAAAATAAGTATATGAAGTGGTAACCTTCTCTTTCATGAGATAGAAAATGATGGAAAAAAAAAAAAGGATTTTTAAAAAACCTTTTTTTAAAGAGTGACTAGGCCAAGGATAGTGCATTTCTTGGGCAAGGTGATACAATTTTCCTATCGTTACTGTAGAAAAATTCAGTTCTTAAAAGACAGTATTACACTGAGTTGCAGTAAGATTTAGGTTGTTTGACTGTTGTATTAACACCTATTTTAAAGAAGACAGTTCCTTTGAAAAAAATTACTTCCTTTTGCCAGGTAAATTAATCAAGAAATCCCAAGTCACTTTGTCCTTGGGCAAGTACTCAAATCCTCCAGTGTCCTAGTAGGGTGCTTGTTTCAGGCTAGACATGAAGGTCACTTGCAGGGCTTTGGTATCAAAACTCACTTGTGGTGCCACCCCACCCGTTGTTGGTGCTGAAGCACGGCCAGGGTCCATCACACAATCTCTGAGACACAAATCTGTCTTCCATGGAAGAGATTATTCCAGTGGAATCCACCTTGTACTGGCACTCGTATACATCACTTGCTAAGAAATGTGAACATTTGGCAGGTTATGGTCAGCTAAAATCATTAGTTCAGTTTTAGATCTGACTGGCTGGGAAGAGCCATGTCATGAGGAATTTGGTAACAAACAGGTAAAAATCCACTCCTGCCAGCCCACAGTATGGCATGTGGACACTAAGCACTCTTGGACTGCCCAGCAAGAGGGTTCCTTCCAGACTGTCCACATCATTTAATTGGCAGAAGTCCACAAGTCTGTTCCCAACAGCAAATTCATGCCCAAGTTGGACAGGAAGTCATTTGACTCAATCAGTTGTCAGCATGAGGCTTTCTGAAGGATCTTCACTCAGCTGCAGTCTCAACAGGTCATTTCTCTCTCATCAGATCCCAAGGTAAAAGCTGCTCTAGCTCCATTTACCTTACCCAGCTCTCCCCATTGTCAATTCAAACCTGAATGAGCCTTTTGAAGTCTCTTAGTCCTCTTTTTTTGTGTCAGGAAACCTTTGGGACAGTTTATAATCTATATAAGCATTAAGACAGGACCACAAAATGAATCGTATTAATATAATTACAACCAGTAAAACCATCAAAAGGACTGATTCCATACTTAAGCTAGAATAATGAGGTAATGCAAAAAAAACCCAAAAAAACAAAAAACCTCTGGGAGATCTAATTATATAATGCAGTATTCAGTTCTGTACGGCCAGCCCAGCAATTCCTCTAACATTCCAATCAAAGTGATCTCACTAGCATGTGAGAGAAGAGTCCAGCTGACAGATTTGGGACATGTAATGTACTATTTAGTCAAGAGGCCCCATGTGCTATTCATAAAGAATTAACAACTCTTATATTGACAATGACAGCATTGTCAGAAGACCTTTGGAAGGGGGAAAAAAACCTCCATAAACTCGATCTCTGTGAAGTTGGACTTTTTTTTTTTTTGGCCCCTCTTTTCCAATGCTGATGTAATCTCCAAACATCTCCAGCAGCAGCTGCTCAGCGAAACCAGGCACCTTCTTCCTAGTCCCTTTCAGCAGCACACGCAGCACTTTCCAGCTCCCTCAAGACAATCAAGGCCTTTCTTTCACCAATTAGCTATCACTTCAAGAGTCCTGCGCTGTCCAACGAGCTCTTAAGAATGGTCTTTGCAGGAAACAACACTGGAGGAGCTTTTTTCTTTTCCCCTAGACAAATGAAAAGGGGAAGAAGGGGAGGGGGAAGAGGGGGACACAAAAAAGCACAAGAAAACAAATCAGAACACAGAAGCTGTCCAAAATGCATCGCTCATTTAGTACATGGACAAATGCAGAAATGTCCTCAAGAGCCAAGGCATACACACACACAAACACAAAAAAAATGCTCTTACTTTCTTTAGGAGATAGTTTGTTTAGTCGAATATGTTAAAAAGGTTCCATAGAAAGAAGTGCTCTTGTTACAGCAAGTCTGAGCCATGCAAAATGAAAGGGAATGAAACTCCTGTAAGATTATGCTCTGTTTCCTTATTTGGCTCTCCAAATGTAAAGCAGCATTATTTGAAGTAGACACTATAGGAAAGAACTCGCTTTAGCTCACTTTAAATATGGATGGATTGATGAAATGAGTAATTACTGGAACTGTTAAGATCTTTTCAGACTTACTAACTAGCAAGTCCCTTTCCCCAGAAACCACACTTTCTGTCTAAAAAGAAATTAAAGCCTGATTCAGAGATATAAGGCTTTGGGAATTCTACATTCTTTTCCCCTTAAAATCAGGGTACAGTAATACTTTGAGATTACAGGATACAATAATATCCTTGGAGATGACAAGTCTTCATTAAAACTAGCACAAACTCCAGGACCCACTTCAGAAGAAAACAAGGAACTTTTATTGAAGTTTAAGCAATTCCTTGCCTGGGCCTGGACATGTGGAGTTATGAAGGCAAAATTGGGAAGGATCAGCAGTAAGTGAAATGACTTGGATATGGTTTGATTAATAGCCCTGTGTGAGAGCTGCTTCCTTGATTTTTAAAAATTCTGCATTAAACCAAATGTCATACCAAAATACTGACTGTCTGTATCCTCTCAAAGTATCACTTTCTGGTCAAATTTGTCCTTGATTGGGGTAACCTCATGAAAGTCAATATGTTGCCTACTACACAGCCAACAAAACCACATTTACACTGCAATGAAAAAAATTAAATAAAATACTCTGTTCCCTTTTATTGAATGTGTATCAGAAGCAAAGCCCTGGGCTTTGTAAACAGATAAATGGCAGAGCAAAGCAAATACTTTCAGGGGTTTCAGGAGTTCGTTCACACTAATGGGTGTTCTCAACTACCACATGGATTCTTTAATGGAGGTGGAAAGTGTCAGAACTGATCAGATTGCTTAAAAGGCAAGAAAGTCTGACATATTGTCCTGCATGCATTTGTGAAGGAATGGGAATCAACTCAAATTCCTCTAGACAGGAAGGCTCAACCAAGGGATGAGTACACAAAATCAGGATTAAGGAAGAATCTTTGAGGAGGCACACCAAACAATGTCTTTTTATACCAACAGATTCCAAAAGCTGCTGAGTTTAAAGGGACTGCTCCTTTCAACTAGCAAAGACTTTGCTGAAAAAATGCAGCAGGCTGGAGAGAACAGATAAATACACACGCATATGTTACTAGGGTCACCTACAGCTACAGGAAAAAGGATAAAAGGGGCCCAAAAGGTCTACCAGCTTGCCCTAAAGCAAAATCAACTACATCATTCCTGACAGCTGTTTCTCTAACCTGCTCTTTTCTTTTAAAAGACCTACACACACACAGAGAGATGAGAAGAAAGGAAATCATCATCTCCTCTGAAAGGGATTTCAGCAAGAAAAACAGTTTGACAAACTGTTCAGTGCCTCTAGGTGTTGCAACACAACCCCTGCAAGACGGGGGCTCCACAGTACACACTCACTTGGGCAACTGGCTCATTTGGTAGCTGTACAATTAATTATTGATTGAGGTGATGATACCTGATTTTTTTTTTCAGAGAAGCAATATCTTTGTACCAGCCCATCTGGATGGCTCCAAGGAAGGTGCATCTTTTGTGACAACCCTCTTCCTCCAGCGTGGTGCAATGCAGCTGTCTGTAGACCAGCAGCATTGCTGAAAACCACCGAATTCAGCATTAGCTGTAATCCAGCACATCCCATGCCTTGGCCCCCAGCTCCCGCTCATTCTGCTAGCACTGAGGAGCCTGGTGGCTACTTAAGGGCACACCCCAGGGATGAGCTGGGGGTTCATTCCAGTGCCAAGGGAGCAGGTGCCTCTCCCTGCCTGGGCTCACAAGCGGTTCTCAGCTCTGGCGGCTCCGGCGGTCCCCGCGAGGTGTCAAAGCCGGAACAGAGGCAGCACATCCCCGGCGCCTGGCACCAGGATGTGCCCGGGACAGGCTGACACAAAGCCAGGGCAGCTTCCACGCCAGCTGCCTGGGCAATGGCAGCTCCCTGGCTCCACATGCCACGGCTGTCAGCTTGGCACCCCGCTTTTATTCACACACAGGAATGCTGCCCAAAATGGAAGGACATGCTTTCCTGCTTGTATTTCACTCCTTGGGACAGATTTCCTCCCACGGAAAATTAATGGCACAGCATGAGCAAGGCGAATTTAAATGCCAGATGAAAACTGGTGTGGCTGGATTTTAGAAAATGAAGTTTAACATGGGTAGTTGTTCTTCCCCTTCGCAAAGTATTTTGAAATAAGTGAGAAAAAGCACTGTGTAAAGCCTATACATTGAGCATTATTATTTGGATTTTCCCAAATTTACTTTTTCACACAACAGATGCTCCTAATGTCTGGCACCATTTTTAATGATGTGCCTTTTTTGAAGAATGTGTTCTGTATCACCCATAAAAGCATCCTCTCTGTTCAAAGCTTATTTTGTTAAACTCATTTTTCAACTAGTCATCTCTCTAGGGAACAATGACATGATAGAACAGTATTTCTGACGGGTGGTATTTTATTACTAACATGTGCTTTCTTCACACAACTAATATTACTACACTATTCTGCTATAAATATTTATTAAAATCCTCGAATGTCAAACTATTTCCAAGACAAATTTCATATTTTGCTTTTAAATTATCACATAATTAATTGTCCTGGTAAATGCCCATTGAAGGGTAGTTTGGGGGGGAAAAAGTACATATTACACAATCTTGTTGACTTTTGAAATGTAAGGCAACAGATTTCACATCTCATTTTCTAATTCTCTAATAAAGCAATCTCCGAAAATATTACTACCTTCCAAAATTTTAAAATATCAAGTAAACTTACAAGTGGCAAAGCAGACAATACAACAATAATCCTAAAACACCCACTGTTATCATCAGTTTGAAATATATCCCAAAATATAAGTAAATTAGAATTAAAAAGTAGGATATTTGACTTACTGCATTTTCCACACATTCAAAAGTCGGGATAACTACCAAAGGAAGCAGCAAAGAGTTGCAGGTGTTGGCAGGGCTAATAAGTTCTGATTTCTTTGTTAAAAAAAAAAAAAAGGAAAAATTCAAGACCAGCACTTATCTGTCAGAATCACGTTCCTTCTACAGTTATCAAAGTCAAAAAGGCACCTTGCTCCAGGTTACATATGTGAAACCTCCTGAGCAAGCATTCCACATCACACTGAAAACAAAATACCACTTAAAAGAGCCAGATCAAGACGTCACCGCTTTAGAGGACAAAATCTGACATTCAGAGTCAATTATTGCTCCACCTAAGTTGTGATAACATGCACATATCAAAATCATTGAATCCTGTATTGAGTCAAAGCAAAGTCAACACCTGCCCCATGGGTTTTCTCCTGGAAAATCCCCAGCGAACACACTCCTCCCACTGCAGTCAGCTTGGTATGCCCATTTCCATGATCAAGAACAACAAGGACAGACAGAAGATACTTCATTTATTACATGTTTCATCCCCTAAGACTAACTTCAGCCTCCATAAAACCAGAAGTATTAGTAAAACCCCAGCTCAGCCTCAAAGGTGTCAAAAGTGAATGCAGCAAGAGAGCACAAATCACAGGAAACAGCAATAAAAAGTGAAGGGAAAGGACTAGAAGGAAATGAAACAAAACCTTATAAATCAGTCTTTAAAATGATTACACGAAGACATCAGTATTTCCAAAAATACTTGATGAGACCTCTGTTGTCACTCCATGACAACCTCCATGTGCTGCTGGATGGGGCAATGGTCAGCTGGAGACATCTTGGTTCCCTTTCATTTAGGGGAATGTCTTACTAGGAATGTGATCAGAACATGACCCAGCAGTAGCAGAATAGATCACATTAATGGCACCCAACAATTAAAAGATTAGCAATGTCCAAAACGTCCACATAATTGTGAATAAATAAAAAAATACTTCATGTCTCATCAGAAAAAAACCAGGGATACATATTTAAATTTACATTATAAAGTTCAGAGCAGCATGTTATCAAGTAATTATTATCTCCTTAGTGATCAGAGAAACCATACACAATTTGCTAAGTTTTCACACTCAGCTAGATGCCTAATTTTTGGAGTAGAAAGAACCTCAGGGATTTTTGCTGAGGAAATTAAGGAATTATCACCAAATTTCACCAGGCACAATGATCTAGCCCTAAACCAACCTTTTCTGGTGCTCTGCTTCCAT